AAATTGCTCCGCACATCATCAAGTACTACTCATGCTGCTCTGCTCTCGCGCTCCCCGTCTGGCCCCTTGCCCCTCTCTCTCACTTTCCAATCCGCCCTCGAGACCATGGCGTCTAGTGTGCTGAACTTCCTCCTTCTCCACGGCCCCGAGGTCTATTGTGGGCTACTCGTATTCACTTTCGTTTGCACGCTTGTGGCAGGTGCTCGCGACTTGCGTGCTCCTCCCCGGCGCAGGGAGGTGACCTGGGCCGATCCGCTTGTGCAGATCCGCGAGATTCCGGCTCGTGGGCCCACCGTAACCTGGGCCGATCCGCTTGAGCAGGTCCGCGAGATTCCGGCTCGTGGGCCCACCGTAACCTGGGCCAATCCGCTTGAGCAGATCCGCGAGATTCCGGCTCGAGGGCCCACCGTAACCTGGGCCGATCCGCTTGAGCAGATCCGCGAGATTCCGGCTCGTGGGCCCACCGTAACCTGGGCCGATCCGCTTGAGCAGGTTCGCGACATTCCGGCTCGTGGGTCCATCGTAACCTGGGCCGATCCGCTTGAGCAGGTCCGCGAGATTCCGGCTCGTGAGTCTACGGTGACCCGGGCCCAGCCTCCAGTAGAGGCCCGCGAGATTCCGGCTCGTGAGTCCATGGTGCCCATCATTCCGGCTCACAAGCCTGTCCAGGTACCGCCTCCCCCGCCTACCACCCAGGCGCCGCCGAATCGGTCGATGCGCCTTCGTTCTTCATCTCGCTTGGCGGGAGGTGAGAAGCTAGCTGCCTCCGAGTCTAGTTTTTTGGCATTTGTTTAAGTGCAGTGGACGTACTACTGCTGTCCTCCGTTGAAGCTCTGTCGTTGATGATTGCAGACAGATGCGCTCACGAGACGGGTTACGGGTCAGCCTCCCCACAAACGGCCGACACATGCACACAGAATTTCAAAGTCCTGACGCTTGATTAATTTCGGACACCGCGGTACACTAGACTATGGATGTAAAAGTATTAATAAAAATATCACCAACGGCCTTCGGTACGCACATTTCAGCATATTTTCGGCGCTCCCCGCCATCTTCATGGGCCCCACGGGATCCATTCTGCTCTTGATAAAATGAAAACGTCCCGGGAATTTCCGCCCATCCGCCATCTCTTGGGTTGTTGAATATGCTAATGGCGGCGGCTGTTGCTGTTGCTGTCGTCGCTGACTTGTGTTCGGTAGGCTGCGGCAGTGACGCTCTGTCCAGCACCACCAGCACCACCACCACCGGGAGCGATCACCTTGCATCGCGGCGGACGGCTCGCACTCGGAAGGGTAGCATTAGCAGTAGCCGTAGCGCAGGCAGTGTATCATCTCGCACGCGAAGTAAGGCACGCACTGCGGCGACGAGCAGGGTGACGCGTGCTGCGAGAGCCAACGTGCAATCAGGTAGGACGGTGCTTGGCGGTAGCACCGCAAGAGCGACTAGGTTCAATGTGCGAGCCGGCAAGGTGAGACTGTGCACGGACACCATCCGATAGACTTCCAAAGTACCCTCGGGTTCATGGAGTGGTCGGCGTTATGAACGAGATACGTGGATGTATCGACGAAATAACTGCTGTGATTTGTCGTTGGTGTTGGTGATGTTGTGGTGGGGATAACCCGAAAATTCGAAACAGTGAAGAGTGAGATTATTTTTCTGGTGGTGTCGTTGGTGTTGGTGTCCTGTTGAATGTTGGTGTTCAGGTGCGCTGGTGTTCAGATGTTCTGATTTTGGTTTTGTTGTTGGTGTTGGTGTTGGTATTGAACGTTTGCGTTGGTGCTGCTGCTAAACGTTGCTGTTGGTGTGGTGTGGTTGTTGTTGGTGTGTCGTTGTTTCTGGCTGTTGGTGTTGTTGAATGTTGGTGTTGGTCTTGAACAGCTTGTTTCGATGCACGTGTTGTTGGAGGGAGGTGTCTGATCAGCACCTCTCTGCTTCAACGCGGTATCACATCTATCAATATTCAGAAGGCGGCGTAGGGAGTGGACGCAGCGAGAGCACGAATCAAATGGTAGGTTTTCCGCCTCTTACTTCCTCTTCGTCGAGCCTATCTGTTGCCATTGTTTCGTTCTTTCGTGGAAAAGCGCAGGCGCTGTGAACTGTGGACTAGAAGACCTGGATCTGGACTTTGGGGGCCGTCATAAACCGATTGTAGTTGGTTGTATATACTTGTACTAATATAGTTGTACTTATCGTTCATACAGCGGAGAGGTCTCCCATTTCCATTTGACGCCATCTCTCGAACAATTTGACGATTGGATAGATTTGGTGTTACTCTCAAATATTTTCCAAACGGCGGACAGTATTAGATCATGATAAAACGCAACGTTTCAATCGTTGTCTCATTCCATCCATCAGCAACAACAACATTATTATGAAAATTGTATACAAGAGGGGATATTCCACATTCGAGTTGTCTTCACCTTTTGGCAGTGAATCACAGCTGACCCAGTTTCCCTACGCTAACTTGTCCAACCGATTAATGACGAACTTCACAAGACCACAGCAGATGATACAATCACTTTACGTGATATGTATTAATAAGGTACCTTCATACAACGTACTTTCATACAGCGGGCTATTTATTACACATGTGTTTACAACGTACCTTCATACGACTAAAATATTTACATGGTTTTACAGCATGCCTTCATTCAGCAGGAACCCCAATGAGACTTAGGGTTGGGGGTTACATGTTTAGGGGATAACAGCAGGCTACATGTCTATTATTGTACATGTTTTTCCTTTGTTTGGCGGATGGATGCCAATCGATGGCTATGGTTGTTAGCTCTTGCGAAGCATCAACGATATATTTTGTTGTACAGTCTAGGCACACGAGATGGCTCATAAAAAGAGCCATTAGTATGTAGACTATCTAGAGAGTGAAAGTGGCGACGATTGATTTCTACGTGAGCCTACGGACTGCTGTTTATTGTAGCGGCGACTGTCTCGGCGAGCCATGAGTGCTAGAGGAGGATTTTTTGCTGTCTCCAGCTGCTGGAAACCCTTCACTACTTGGCGGCAGAGGCAGTAGATATTTCGTGGCTCAAGATCGACGTCTACCTCCAAGATCGGCACCCTCCTTCCACGCGGTTGAAAGTCCTCCGCGGAATACCTTGGGAGAGAGGGATCAAGGCCCCGCGTACGGGAGCCGTGACTATCGCCTCCTTAGCACCTTAGCGTATCCATGCTATGGTGCTGCGGGGGTGAAGCGCGGCGTTTGTCCGGGCAAGGGATGAATACGATGATGCGTCTAGACTTTGCAGTCTGGACGCGGAGGGCGCGGTAATCCAATCTTGGAACCGTTGGTAGGGAGGTGGTCACCTCTGTCATTCCCAATGGCAGGGCCCCACGTCCCAAACAAGCCACGTGTCTTTTGATACGGCCCTGAGAAACTGAAAGAAACTGAAAGCCTGAAGTGCATGCTGAACTGATCTAATATCGTGACGTGAGCTAACCTGAGCTACCCTGAGCTATCTATGGGGTGCTGGTGGAATGCTAACAACGTGGAGTGCGTGCAGCCCTCGCGAGGAGTAATCCGGAGAATATCTACTACAATCTGAGCCTTAGCCGGCGGTCTTGACGGACAGGTGTTGAGAACTTTTGGGGGGAGGGGTTGTGGAAGATAAAGCAACGATGTTTCACGGGCTGCTAAGAAGCAAAAATGACAGCTGAATCATGTAGCTTTTCGGGGGGGGGTTGGAAGAGAGTATTTGCAGGGAGTGAGTGTAGACTAATGTTTAGGGCAAAGAGCAGTCAGTTTTTCACCCGAAATAAGTGGAGATCGATATATCGACTCTTAGTCTACTAGACTACATGAAAAATAGTAGATCAAAATAGTGGTATGGAACCAGATTCACTAGCCTGAGAACATCGGATTGATGCTGATGCGTAAGGCAATGTCCGCGTGTTCTCCAGGTTAGTTGGCATTCCGCCCCAACTGCTGGCGGAGGAGGTGGTGAAGTCTAAGCTAGCTAGCTGGCCACCCCCGCCTCTCTTTCGTGTATCACAATAGTTTGGTATGAACAGCTCGATCAGTTGGATAACGGATGCGTTTTCCCCGTCTGGCCTGTTTTTTCCCGATCTGGTGCAGCCCCGTCAATGTACACCACCAACGTTTGATGTAGGGGGAGTTGGCGCGCTCCCTGCATATCGAACGTTGGTGATGTGCATATCGAGGGGATCGCTTGATCGTTGTACTTCCACTCCCGTGTTATACGCCGAGGGGTTCGTGGTGTATGTTCCTTCATGGGTTCATGGGTTCACACGCTCACGCGACCCCACCGCAACGTGACACGGTTTGTGTAGTGCGTGCAACCCTGTTGAGCTTGCTTGCCTTCCACTTGTTGGGAAAATTTCCGCGGCATTTTACCGAAGGAGTGCGGGTCGACTGACGAAATGACCGACACCTCCTCATGGTTGCGTTGGGTACAACTTGGCAAACATGTTCCTAATGTTTACCACGTCTAACTAAACTCGGTCTACAGTAGGACTTGTGGTAGACGGTTCAATCCCCGTACTCTGCAGCTACAACTAGTGAAGGCTTCGCTGACGCCCGTGCCAGGTAAGTGGTGGCACCTACCATCGTCCTGCCGTCTGCCATCGCATGTAGGGCGTTTGGGGTTCTTCCAACACACATGCAGTTCGACAGACGAGCCGGACCGGATAGGCTGTTTATGCCTGCTTTCCTTCACGCAGGTTGGAGCGGAGCGACGTGGTGCAGGGCTCCACACTCCTCAAGCGCTTCCCCCTTCCGTCTACCCTTTCTCTACGTCGCACGAACCGAACGAAGAACTCGCGAGAGCAGGCTCCGAGGCGAGGATATCTCCTCGCCCACGCAACACACGAAAACTCTCGTCCCGAGACCATCCGGCCCACAGTCAAGCGTCCGAAAAGACTTCAAATCATGCTTGCGCGCAAAGAACACTGTTTCTCAATTCACTCCAACGTTTGAACCTGGTCTGATTGGAAGAGAGCGACGTACCACCTGTGACGTCGACCCTTCGACAAAAGTGCGGCAGAAGGAACTTCATCCTGGGTACACACTGCAAACGACCGTAGCCACAACGCCATGAACAAGCGATTTCGAGAGTACATCGAGCGGGTTGGTTGGTTCGGGATCGCTGGACAATTCATTCTTGCTTGCGGTGATCTCAGGGTTTGGCCACGTGGATGGGCAGGCTCAGACACCTGCACAATGTAGGGAAAGCAGTCGGTGCTCCAGCTCGCTTGGAGAGTATCACTGAATGCCCACCGCACCCAATTCGCTTCTTCAACAGGATGTGCTTTAGAATTCACGGCAAACATATCTTGAAGGAAATATGGGGTTGGCCAAACCACAACCGACTAGCTATTGCATGCGACGGAATTGACCAAATAGGCATTGCTCTTCTCTCGTCACTATACCCCGGGAAATCTTGCGAGAAGAGGAAACAACTAGTGTAAGGATCACATCCACGTAACCTAAGATCTCTCTCTCTCTCTCTCTCTCTCTCTCTCTCTCTCTCTCTCTCTCTCTCTGCCTCCCCCTACCCCCTCTCTCGCGTTGACTGCCTACCCCTACCCCTCTCCGTCTTTCGGCGTCAGGTGGACTAAAAATCCCCAGAAGCTGTGGGCTAGACCATCAGAATAAAACATATTCCTTGCTCACACCTGTCCGGCGCCAAATCAATAAATACCCTAAAACCCTGTGTCTGCCGGCTATTCTCGCACACCTGTTGGGTTGGAAACCTGCTTCTTCGTCGGCTAGCATGTGGTGAATATTCCCGCTTCAAAGGGTATAGTCTACGTTGACTGCCTACCCCTACCCCTCTCCGTCTTTCGGCGTCAGGTGGACNCCCTACCCCCTCTCTCGCGTTGACTGCCTACCCCTACCCCTCTCCGTCTTTCGGCGTCAGGTGGACTAAAAAATCCCCAGAAACTGTGGGCTAGACCATCAGAATAAAACATATTCCTTGCTCACACCTGTCCGGCGCCAAATCAATAAATACCCTAAAACACTGTGTCTGCCGGCTATTCTCGCAAACCTGTTGGGTTGGAAACCTGCTTCTTCGTCGGCTAGCATTTGGTGAAGATTCCCGCTTCAAAGGGTATAGTCTACTACTAGTGGCGCATCGCTTTCGTCACGCTCAACCGTCTTCGCCGCTCACAGTTGAGCCCCCATGGACGATATCATCGCCTCCTGAAACACTTTCACAATCCCGGGACATGTTTTCTCTCTCCACTTGGTGCCTGCTTGCCTGCCTGCCCCCCTTCTCGCACGAGGTCGCAGCGTTGGGAGCCAAGAGTTTGTGTCATCGGCGACTTGAACCGTAACTATTTGTGCCCAAACCGACCAGACACCAACATTCCCCACCGGCAGACGGCAGAGCGACGCCAGAAGCCGACCGTCTACAACCTAAAACAGAGCGAAGGATTTCGGGTGCCCTAGCACCGCCCACTTCTTGTCTCCCTCCACTAGGTGATCCCATCCAAGCTCCTCGAACACCTTGGCCCGTGCTGTCGACGCCTCTTCCTTGGAAACCGTCTACGAGGGGTACACGTGCAAACCGAGGGGGGTGTGCGTGGCAAGCAAGGTAGGAAGGGGACTCTTGTTTTGCATGCCCTAGGTGTTAAAAAATCGACCACGCGTCCTCGAGAGGACGGAGAGGACGGGGAAGGTAGGGGGGGGGGGGGG